ATTAAAAAAACAGCCAAGGTATGTATACCAGACCTCATCCCTCCCCGAAATGAAATCCTAGATATGGCCCTGGAACAATGTGCCATGTGCGAGAAGAAAGTGTGTGGCATCGACTGTGCACACGTGCAGGGAATGTAAAATGCCTATGTTCATTCCATAAACATCTTGACTCTAAGAAGTACTGTCCATCGCCAAATGTCTTCCTCAATATTCCATATAGAGTTATAAACTTTTTGTCGAAACTTCTCTTTTATTTGCTGTGTTGGGTGTGTATTAAGTCCATCATTCAAGGCTAGGTTAATACAGAGTGTAGGTTCGTATTAGACATGTCCAAAGCGCAGCAACCCCACGGCGGCATCAACTTTAGTCTTTCTTCTTTCGACGGGTCGTTCCAATTTAATAACTCACCTGTTCATTGAAAGGAAACGGTATCGCTATGTATCAATGATGCTGGACTTAATGAACTTAATGAATTTGATGGACACCGTATTTTTGCAATTTACGAAATCCACATATGATTTGGTGAAATTACCGATTTTGTGATTTTTGTGATGTTATTGCGTGATTCACTAGACAGTGACTCAAACAATAACACATATTCATGAAGTATTTACAGCTATACATACTTCATGAAAATTGCTAAATGTGTCAACTTTTCAAGATCTTTTCTACAACTGCAGTCTCTCCGGGAATCGATTGCCTAACTCACTTGCAAGATTCCACTTCAGGTCTTCGTAAGAAAGATTTGAACAGTCGACACATTGAGCAATTTTTGTTGAAACTATTTATAGCTTATAAATACTTCATAAACATGTGCTTTTGCGCGTATTACTGTATAGTTCTATTGCTTTTCAATTAAAAGTTAAGTAATATTTTTTTTATGAATGCCGCCTAGGGTGGATTTAATGAACATGAATAGACGGTAATTTCTACCGAGAGGTAAGAGGAGAAAAGTGATTTGATTATTTTCACAGCGCCTGCTTCTATGGTGGAACGTCTCGATGAATGTCATCGCTTTCGCAACATGTTATCACATCTCTCTGACCCCGACTTTAGTCCCATCAAAATATTTTACCCGAATAGGGTCTGTTTTCAAAGAGGATATGCCTATTTTTCCGTAAGGGAAGGAAGGAGCTGCAGTTGTCATTGAATGGGGTATATTGATTAGTAAGCTTAAGCTTAAACCATGGGGCACAGCAACGTTGAATAACCGTTGAATGCACGTTGATTCCTGAGTGGAACGCTTGCTATCATCGACATTGCTAAACGCTGGCTGCAGGCTGAACGTCATTACCTTGCATATCCTTACCCCAAATCGTTTCGTCTCACCGAACTAGTGTCTTCCCCTCGAAGTAGATGACTCTATAAGAATGGGGCCGAGGACGAAACGTCATCCATATGCTTTTCTACTCTCTCCAATCCCTTTCAAGAGCTAATTCGTATTCCTGTCTCGAGTTCTTTCCTCTAGGACCGCCTCTCATGCGCTCAATACAAACACGACTATTTGCAGATACAACCGCATTCCTCATTTTTCCAAACTTAGGCAAGTGACGTCATCCACTCTGGAACGGGTCAGAAAGCAAGGATGGACCCGATGGCATTTTCCGCGGGACCCACGTCGGGCCACTGTCGGTTATTAACGTACCCCAGTAGCACCCTAATATTGGGCCGATATTGTCTGCCAAGTAATATATAAGGGGCGTTCAAAGGAAATGCGGGCAAGTAGGAAATAAAGCATAAAATATTTATTTCTCCATACAAATTCGCCATGCCCGTTGAGACGTGTGTCCCAACGTGAAGTTGGCAGCATGATACCCAGTTCGTATGACGACTCTGTGACTGTTCCGTGAGGAAGTCTGTGACCGTTCGCTGCACCTCTTCGTCCGACTTCAGCTGCCTTCCTTTTCATGGCCTTCCTTAGAGGACCGAAAACGTGAAAGTCACGTGGGGAGAGGTCAGGACTGTAGGGAGTGTGTTCCTTAGAAAAGGGGGGGCAACCTGAATTTATTTCTGTTAGTATAAGTGTTTTGGGGCACTCAACGCTTAGGTCCACCTGAGCCGAAGAGGAATGAGATCTATAGCGTCCAAGCCGTTTTACTTCATGAGTCAGTGAGGTGTGATTTTATTTAAGTCGATATTACATCCTATCGGAAGGGTTAAGGACAGATGCCCCGAATATCAAAAGACGTTTGCGGATCCAGCTGGCCGGAAGGGCCTCATCAGGTGTCCGCGTGCGAAAGAGAGAGCTAAGAGTTAGTGGGGGTGCGCGAAGGAAAGTTTGAGGGGAAACCGTCGAGTTTCAAGAGGGAATATGGGTTTGTTTATGGCCTGGGCTCTATGAATCCATCTTGAATATGTGGATAACAAATGAACGAAAGTCCGTGTTTACTGATTCCTATAATGAGACTAGCCGAGACATATGTCGAGGTACAAAATAATCCTGCGAGGGACGATTCCAGAGAAAGAGGGAAGGGAACTTTCGTGTACTGCGCGAAAAGCTTACCTCCATCTAGTGGCGAAGCGAGGAACATCAAGATGTTCACTTCACTACGGGCGATGAGGGAGCCTTTGGTGAGTAACAAGACTCTCCCAACCATACCTGTTCGACGTTGTTACCGTTAATTGGGCACTAGGGGGCGAGCGTTGTCATGCATCGAAACGAACTTCCTGCTCGAAAGTCCTGGACGCTTCGACTTTATTGCCTGTCTTAAACAGCCCAAAGTTTTGCAATATCGTTGCGAGTTGATGGAGTCACCACGGTCCAGAAGCTCAATCAACGGCATTCCCGGATAGTCAAAGAAAAACGTCGGCATAACTATTCCTGCGCTGGGCATTGACCGTGACTTCCTGGGTGGCGGGGAGGATGGATTCTTCCATTGAATGCTCGTCTGCTTTGTTTCTGGACTGAAATGGTGACAACATGTTTTGTTGCATGACACTTGTTGGCCCAGTGATGGCACCCATCTTGGACCGTTATTGGATTACTACCAGACCCTTATTGGGCCGATATCGGCGCTGCTTTGTGCTCTAAATCCACTACATAGTGGGGTTTCCACCATGCTGAAAAACAGCTTTTGAAATAGCGAAGATTGAATCACGTAAACACTCACTTTGCCCTGTGCGAATTGGCGCGAGTGACCCATAGCTTTAGGCCCCCGCTGTGTTCGAAATAACTTCACTGATGATTTTACGGATTCGAAGACGAAAGCCAGGTCGCTTGAAAGCCAGGTCGCTTGAAAGCCAGGTCGCTTGAAAGCCAGGTCGCTTGAAAGCCAGGTCGCTTGGAAGCCAGGTCGCAAGACCTGGCAAGAACCCCTTTCGGGATTTTGGCGCTGATTGCACCACTGGAGACGAATTAGACGGAGTTAGATCGCTAAATTAGCAGAGTGAGCAGACAATGACGCTGGAAGGCCATTTCCATTTTAGAAAATGTTGATAATGGCACCATTCACACCCCAGTTGGCGGCACAGTTAGGTGGTCTTTACGAGCTTTACCCTTTCTTCTCGTGAGGATTCGTCGAGTTCAGGCTGGCCCGATTCATTGCAGTGTCAAATTAATGCAATGCTGCACTCTCATTAAATATTCGCGTCCATGAAAAACACGATCTTCGATCTGTAAATCAATTTTGAACAGATGGAGTTTCCACTGCAATGCCAGTTTCCCTTTTTTTTTTCCTTTGTAAAAAATTGACTGAATATTGACTCCACTTTGAAAGAATGTCAATTTTTATTCCGCCTTGAATGAACGATGATTATTTAAATAAAGTATATATATAAATTACTTCCAAAGGCGAAGAATTTTCACTTCGGTCGGAACTTGACCTTCAAGTCGCCGACGCCATATAATATTCCACACAATCACTGGAAATGAAAGACGCCAAAAAAGGTAATCGATGAATTGCCAATTAATTTAAAATTTGCAGATGTCACTCTCATGACTCAGTGTCGTCGTAATACAAGGAAATACTGACCGAGGATGAATGGCGGTGTTGCGGTAGAGCTCCGCCCATGCCCTTTTCTGATTGGTCAGGAGGAAATTTTTTTTTCAGATAGGGCGCAGCACCGGGCTCAAATGAACACCTCAGTCATGGTGCTACCATTGCCATCTGCGTTTTCACCCACGTTCCCGTCACTTTGACCATCTCTGGATGGCTTCGTCGACGTTCATCGAGGAGCAGCAGGATTTTCCGAGTGAGTTGGTTTTGCGTCGTGGGCAGGGGATTGCGTGGGTGTTTGCAGGCCACCGAACATTGTTTTCGTCGCATTCGGCAGGGAAAACTGGGAATCTTCGGAGCTATGCGTTTACCCCTTTCAAGTTTCAGGAAATTTTCACTCGTGGGGGTGAGAAAGCCTATTGGAATTCGAAGATGGTCCTTGCAAATATTTCTCCAAATTTCAGCCAAATAAACATTAATTTCAGCTTGCCCCGACGCTTGGATGGTAGACTGCACCGCCTGCAGCGATTCTGCGTTCTATGCCTTCCGAGGCTTCTGGGACAGCCCGACCTGCAGATGCTTTGTCATCGGAAACTTCCATCGAGAGGTCTGTCCTTCCAATTTACAATTTTCAGTTCAGTCACTTTCTTTCAGATTTATAGGTTTGGACCAGTTACTTACAAAAGGAACCTCAGATCCCGGAAAAAAAAAATCGAACCTGAAATTTTAATAGTTTCACGAGGTTTATGATGGATTTTCTATGCAGGTGGATTGGGTGAGATTGCAGGTGGGTTGCCATACCGGAAACGTCACTGGTTCCAATTGGGAATCAGAAAGTACCCATGTTACGACTGGAAAATCAGAGATCTGTCAGAATATACCAACGAGTTCCAGGTGGATCCTGTTGGTTCATTCCAACTGGAAACCAATTTCCAAAACAAGTTGGGTAGGAAATACAACAATTTCTACAGGAAGTGGCTCACATTTACAGTTGGAAAAGTTGCTATTCCTAATTGTGCTTTTTGCTGGGTTTGCTGGGACTGGAAAACCTAGTGAATAAAAAGCATGCACGTGTGACCATGGGTTTTAGGAAGATAGCGAAGTTTACATGTGAAGAGCCTACCATATTGAGGACAAACTGTATCCTAAGCAGAAAGTACTAAAGTACTGAAACCGTACATTAGTTGAATTCCCATCTGTTGTTTCATTATGTAGCGGACACGTGAGTAACGATAGTAAGATCTTATACTAGAAGAATACTTACCAAAGGATACAGTTGATTTTCATTTCAGCTCTGGAAGTTGACATTTGGAACGGGGAGATGGGAACGGTTGCCATTGAGGGGGAAATACCCAAAAAGTGCCTACGGTTCGCGTGGGAACTGTAATGACAAGCATCTGCTAGTTTATGGTGGGGCTCTCCAATATTACTCTAAAAGCGACAACAGTCTCTTCATCTGTGATCTCAGCAGCCTGGAATGGAATGTGTTCCCGACCGTGGGGGCAAATCCACCAGATCTCCATCGCCAGGTAGGGGAATGAAATTGAGTATTTCAGCTTAAGTGGTCAAAGGGGTGTTGTACTTCAAACTCAGATTTACTTCGAAAGTTATTGCATGTTGCAATCAAACCCTATGAAAAAAAAAGTTGGCTTTTTGGCTCCAACCGTTTTCAAGTTATGCGGCCCTAAACTTAGCCCCCAAGAGGGAAAGTCGAGCTTTTGCAACATTGTAGACTAAAGCAATGACAGTTCAAGAACTAAATTTTAACTTCTCGCATTGTTTGAAACAACGTTACTTCAACTGCGATTCTACATAGTCTCAGCTTCATTATCCAAAAAACTTCTTTCTAGCTCGACTAAGACCAAAAAGCGCTCTAACCGAAAATGGCACTTTTTCTCTTGGAGGCATATTATTTAGGGCCGCATATCGTGAAAACCACAAGAGCCAGAGACCCAACTTTATTTTTCATAAGTCTTGCCAACATTCACACATTTTCCCAAGAAAATCAGAGTCTGAAGCCCCACGAAAGTGACTCTTATTTGACCACTTGAGTTGGAACGTCTTCTTGCATAAATCAAAAGCTCAAACCACGTAGTTGAAACTGACACTTCCTTTTCTCGCTCCTATCATGATGACATCTCCACAGGGGTTCGTGAGAATAGGGACAGACATGTATGTCATCAGAGGGATTATGCATAACTCTCGGCCGATAAGCTACAGTGGTGTTTTTCACTTGGATCTCAAGACTGGAATATGGACTGCACTTCCATCCACCGAAAACCCTCACATCGAGTATGTCGTCAATCTGTTGCATGTAACATTTCGTGTCACCTAGACAAACGCCTGAGATGAGTAACTATTGCAGGTTTTTTATTTGGATACGAACACATGGTACCATTCATCCATCCAATTTGAGAAAGTATCAGTTAGTCATTGTTTCAAGTTATTGCACACTAGGATAGCATTCAATTTTATATTTACATATACACCATATATACACATATAATTATGATTTCATTGATAATTATGTCTCAGGGAATTCCCGAGACATAAAATGCACCAAACTCTGTGAATGAATGCTTGTATTTTC